CCAGTCATGTTAATAATCACAGGAATTACCTGTGTAATTATCCCAATTAAATAAACAGAGATTTTAGACTAGACTGGGGACCTAACTGCATCTATCTAAAAGAAATAATTGAGATTAAAAAATTTGAGAAATAAAAATATATTTAATAATTTCATATCTTAGATATTCTGTGTATTTCCAGAGTACAGCATGATGCTTTGAAACATGCACACACTACGGAATGGCTACTTCTAACTAACATAGACATTAGTCACATATATCTTTTTGTGGTGAAAACATTTTAAATCTGTTTTAACAATCTTTACCATAATAGATCTCTTGAACTTATTCTCCGTTTAACTGAAGTTTTGTATCTTCTGACCAATGACTCTCCAATCTTCTTACTTGCTTACCCCATCCAGCCTCTAGAAACCACCATTTGACTCCCTGCTTCTACGAACTCAACTCCATGGGAAACCACATATATCAGATCATGCAGCATTTGTCTTTTTGTACCAGGCTCAGTAAATTTAGCATAACGTCCTTCAGGTTTATCCATGTTGTGACAAGGGAAAAGATGTGCTTCTTTGTAAAGGTTAAATAGTATTCCACAATGTAAATATGCCACATTTTATTTTTTTATTTTTTAAGATCTTTTATTAGCAAATGATAGATGTACAAGGTGATTGCAGTGTCATTTCCACATATACAGCAGATCTCCTTGATCAAACTCACCCAGGCCATCTCTCTCCTTCATCTCCCCATGCCACATTTCCTTTACCCAGTCATCCATTGATGGCCATTTGGGTTGACTGCATATCTTAGGTATTGTGACACATGATACAAGGAACCCAGGAGTGCAGATGTTTATTCAATGCACCTATATCATTGCCTTTGGTTATAAACCCAGTATTGACTTTGATGGGTCACACAGTAGCTCTTTTTTGTTTGTTTACATTATTGGTGTTGGAACTCAGATGATTTACTGCTTAAGCCACACACTCAGCATATTTTTAATGTTTTGAATAACTTTTATATTGCTTCTTGTAATGGCTGTAAAAATTTACATTCTTACGACAGCTTACCAGTGTCTCTTTTCTCCACACACTTGTCAACAATTACTTTTTATTTATTGTTTGTGTGTTTGTGTGTATATATATATATATATATATATATACATAATATGTGTTATATATGTTTACTTGATTATTTTTGGTGCTGGTCCTGGGGCTTAAACTCAAGACCTGGATGCTGTCCCTGAGCTGTTATGCTCAAGACTAGTGTCTCTTTTCTCCACATACTAGCCAACAATTGCTTTTTATTTAGTGTGTGTGTGTGTGTGTGTGTGCGCGCGCGCGCGCACATGTGTGTGTGTGTGTGTGTGTGTGCATTACATATATAATACATATGTTTTGGATTTAGGTGCTGGTCTTGGGGCTTAAACTCAAGGCCTGGGCACTGTCCTTGAGCTGTTAAGCTCATGGCTAGTTCTCTGTCACTTGAACCACAACTCTACTTCTGGATGGTTAATTGGAGATAAGAGTCTCATGAACTTTCCTGCCCAGGCTAGATTCAAACCAGGATCCTCAGATCTCACCCTCCTGATTAGCTAGGATTATAGTTGTGAGCCCCCAGTTTACAGCTTTGTTTTTTAAATTAGATGTGAGATGACATGTCATTGTGATTTTAAATTGTACTTCCCCAATGATTAATAATGGTAAGCTTTTTTTTTCCTTCTCTCTTGGACATGTGTTTATCTTTTGTAAAATGATTATTCAGGTCCTTTGCCAACTTTGTAATCAGATTCATTATTTCTGTATTATTAATTTCTTTGAATTTCTTATATATTGTTGGATATTATAGTTTACTATATTTTCTTCAATTCCATTGGTTGTTTGCTCATTCCACTTACTGATTGTTAAGAAACACAATTTAAATATAAAGACACAAAAAGGCTAAAGCTAAAAGAATACAAAAAAGAAATACCATGCTATATAATTCTATTCAGAAATTTCAGTACCACCTTTCATGGATAGTAGTAAGCATTCTTGACATCATGATTGTCACTGCTACCCAACTGACATTTATTGAGTACTCCATCCAGCAACAGCCATAGACATTCTTCTCAAGTGCACACAGCATGCTTTACTAAGTATATAGCATCTTGGAAGCTATGAAACAACTCTAAATTTTTTTTTTTTTTGGGTCTGGTCGTGGGGCCTGAACTCTGGGCCTGGACGCTGTCCCTCAGCTCTTCAGCTCAAGGCTAGCGCTCTACCACTTGAGCCACAGCATTACTTCCGGCTTTTTTCTTTTTTCTTATGTGGTGCTGAGGAATTGAACCCAGGGCCTCAGGCATGCAAGGCAAGTGCTCTACCACGGACCCACCTTCCCAGCCCAACTCTAAATTTTTTTGAAGGCACTATCATATAAGTTATATTTCTTGACTACATGCAATATAAAATCACAACAGAAAGTATTGTGGAAAATTCTGGATATTTAAAAACTAGACAATGTATTTCTAAAGAGCCAATAAGTCAAAGATAAAAACAAAGAGGGAACTGTATTTTTAACTGAATTAAAATGAAATTTTTAATTATTTAAAAATTTTAAATTAACATAAAAATTTGTGGGATGCAGCTAAAGCAGTACTTAGAGAAAATTTTCTATCATTAAAGGCCTAGTTTAGGAAAGGAGAAAGATCTGAGATCAATGACCTTAGTTTTACCTCAAAAAACAAGGGGGTAGTGATAGGAAGCAAATAAACTGTAAGCAGAAGAAAGGAAATAAAAGTCAGAGTGGAAATCAATGAAATAGAACATAAAAAGTCCGTAGAGAAAAATCAATGGAACCAGAAAAATGTTTACCAAGGAGGAGATGGGGGAGGGAGAGGATCCATATTACCAACATCAAGAATTAAACACCATATCACTACAAGTTCTACAGACAGTAAAAAATAAATAAAGGATGCTATGAACAATTTTATGTTCATAAATTCAACATCTTAGATGAAACAAATTCTTTCATAGCCATAATCACCAAAGTTCAGTAACTTGAGTATCTATTTACTAAATAAACGTGTAGTTTAAAACTACCCCTCAAAAGAAACACTAGAGCTGGGTGCTAGTGCCTCATGCTTGTAATCCTAGCTACTCTGGAGGTTGAGATCTGAGGATTGTGGCTCAAAGCCAGCTGGAGCATGAATATCTGTGAGACCCTTATATCCAGTTAAGCACTAGAAAAACAAGTGGAGCTGTAGCTGTAGTGGTAGAGCACTAGCCATGGGCACAAAAGTTCAGGGACAGACCCAGACTCAGTTCAAACCCTAAGATTGGCCAAAAAAGAGCAATAGAGGTGGGGGGGGGAAGGAAAGAGAGGAAAGAGAGGAAGGAAGGAAGGAAGGAAGGAAGGAAGGAAGGAAGGAAGGAAGGAAGGAAGGAAGGAAGGAAGGAAGGAAGGAAGGATGGATGGATCTCCAGGTCCAGATGACTTCACTAGAAAATTCTACTAGACATTTAGGGAAGAAACAATATGAATTCTAAACTAACTTTTCTTATATCCAGAATATGCAAACAACTTTCAAAATTCAGTAAGAAAATCATCTCTGAAAATAGGTGCCAGAGGTGACTAAGCTTCACCCAAGAGGATTTGCGGATGACAAGTCCATAAAATATGAGTTATTAAACAAAAGTAAAAAACATAATGAGATAATACTGCACATCTATTAAAAAGACTGCTGACACCAAATGATGATAGCAATGTGGAACAACTGGAACTTTCTTATGCCACTAAGAGCAATATAAATGGCACAACCACATTGCAAGACTGCTTTCTTGGTATATTAAATGCATACTTTCTTAGTGTGCTTTCTTAGTATATTAAATACACACTTAAAAGAGTATTCAGCTATTCTATTCCTAGGTATTCACAACCCAAGACAAATGGAAATGTATGTCCAAACAAAGGCTTGTACATGAATGCTCACCACCACTTTATTGGTAATAGGCAAAACCTAGAAATAACCTAAATGTCATCTATAGGTCAGTGGATTCATAAACTGCAGGTTATCTAAACTGATCACTACTCAGCAATAAAAAGCAGTGAGCTCTTTCTTATAGACAACAACAGAAAAGTCTCAAAAGAACTGCACTAAGTGGAAGAAAAAAGTTCATACTGTATGATTATCTTAATTTAAAATTCTAGAAAATGCAAACTAAATGTACAGCCATAGAAGATTGGTGGATGCTTGTGAGGGTGTATGGGGGGGGGGGGGTGAGCCATAAAGAGGATTTCAGAGAGGCAGGAGAGAACTTTTGGATGGTGATGGGTACCTTTGATCACTGTGGTGTGATTTCATGCATGCACACGTTAGTCCAAAGGGAATACTTTCAACATTCGCGGCTTATGATATGTACCTCCATAAAGCTCCTTGGAAAATGCATGTAGTGGGCACAGTGAGTCTGGTTGTGTTAGAAATGTCTTCTCTTCAGTCCTTAGACTACACTTACGGGGGTTTGGTAATGTGATCCGGTTATGCCCTTAGGAGAACACACCGGTGGTTAGGAGGATGTCACATACCAAGGGTACCCAATCAGTCAATGGCAGCTCGAGCTCGCTTCTCACTCCGGACCGTGCCTTTGTGACAGGAAGACACACGATGCAGCCGAGAGGCCCCGTAACGTGCTGAGCGTCCCCGTGTTCGCTATGCAGATCCCCACGAGCCCGGAGGAAGCGGTGGCAAGGCTCGTGCCTGCTTCCCAGGTGCAGACGCCCAAGATCTCCGGCTCTAAGGTGACCTCTAGACCTCTCGGGACCTGGAGGTCGTCGGGGAGGAAGGTCACGCCGCAGCTCGCGCTCCCCGCCGGGGTGGGCCGGCCGGTGCGGTGCAGCAGTGGCTTCGCAAAGGTGGTGTAAATTGGAGCTCCCGGTGCTTGGCGATGTCAGAAACTCAAGCCCCTGAGGAGGACAGACAGACAGACCTGGTGTGGACGAGGGCCGCGGAGCACCGAGTCCACAGCACCTCACCTCTTGGGTGTCGCCGCGGGTGGGGCGGGACGGGGCGCAGTCTGTTTCACCGTCCTTCGGTCCGTCCCGCGGCTGTCCCGTGGCGGGCCTGACCCCTCCCGCGGCGGCGGGCCGGCGGGCGGGCGGGCGGGGGCGTCGCGGAGGCGGGCCCGGGGACGCTGGCTGCGCTCGGACGGGCGCCCCCTGCCGGCCCCGGCTCCTCGCGCGGATCGAGTCCCGGCTGCGCGGGGACGCGGGCCTGCGAGCCAGCGAGCGAGCGCTGCGGACGGACGGGCGCGCCGAGCGAGGGTAGGTGGGCCGCGAGCGGGCGGGCGGGCGGGGGAGGCAGGGGGCGCGCGGGGGCGCGCGGGGGCGCGCGGCGGCGGGGGTCGGCGGGGGCGCGCGGCGGCGGCGGCGGCGGGGGCGCGCGGCGGCGGGCGCGAGTCATCAATTATGCAAGGACCCGTGCGGCGCGGGAGGGGGAGGGGGCGGGCGCGGGGAGCGCTCCAAGATGGCGCCCACCGCAGTCCCGCCCGCCGCAGCCCCGGCGCCTCTGCAGTCCGGCCGCGCCTCCCGGGCCCCGCGCTAGGGCCGCCGCCGCCTCGCTCGCTGCCGCCGCCGTCGCCGTAAGTCGCCCCAGGGCCTCGACGCCGCCCCAGTGGGTGGCCGCTCCTCGTCCCCCGGGCTCCCCTCCTCACCCCGGGTCCCTGAAGCGAGCTCGTCCCTTCCCCCGGGCAGGGGCTTTGCCGCAGAGTGTGCGGCCGGGGCGCGCGGGGCTTTGGACAGGTGTTTGGAAGTCCTGCTTCCTTCTGCTGTGTTTTCTGGGGTCCCTGAGTTGGACCGAGGTCCACCAGCCGCCCCCCCCTCCCCAGCCCCCAAACCCGGGACGCCCTGCGCCCCTGGCGTCGGGGCTGCATCGGGGGACCCCGGCGTGGCCCTCGCGCCCCTCCTGCGGTGCACCCCCGCCCCTCCCCCTCCCCCCGGGCCGGGCCCAGTCGGGGTTGTTCTGGGAAGGGCAGCGCCGTCGGGATCTCCCCGCGGCAGCCCCCAGCTCTGCTCCCCGCCCCCACGCCTTCCTGCACCCTGCTCCGGATTGCTACCAACTGCAGAAGCCGGGGGGCTGCTGGGCTCCTCGGGCATCCAGGACAACCCCCACCCCCGCTCCCGCCTTGACCTTTTGCTAGCATGTGTCAGCCTTTACCACCTCCCCCCTCCGCCCTCCCCAGCAGGGTGTTCTGGGGGTGGTGTTGGGGGTGCCCCGCGACCTTCCACGGCAGGCCAAGATTCCTGCATCAGGGAGTACATCACTTTGAGAACATCCCTTTCCCCCACCCCCACTCCCTACGCCACCCTGTGCAGAGCTCGTCCCTCTCCTCATGGCTCCCTCCTCCTTCCTTACCACCGGGCGGCTGCACCCTGGGGCTTCTGGTGAGCGTTGGCTGCCCCGCTCGGACCCTTCCTCTCTTAGTTGTCTGCTCAGTGCCCAAGGGAACCGCAAAGCCTCTGCATTTCTCCTGGGAGCTCAGCTCCATCCCTTCCATTACCTGCAGCAACCACCGGTGGAGACTTGGCAGTTAACTTTCGAAGCTAACATTAGTCGGGGGCTGTCAGACCCCTTTACCGGCCCCAGCTTCCAGTTGGGATGGAGTGGCGATCATTTTTCAGCCTGATAAATAGGATCCTCCAAAGTATGCATTCCTTCCAACTACTCCACCCTGTTTCCTCGCTTCCTCACTTACACTGCAGTTTTTGAAGTGCGGGGGAATACATTTTCTAATCAGGAGATTCCAGGCTTTGCATCGGTGTTCAAACCATTGTCATCGGTGTAGGGGAGAGGGGTCTGGAGAAACTTTGCATTGCATCTGACAAAATTCACGGGGAGGGAGAAATAATTGGTATGGAGCAAGCTGTTACACAAGGAAAAACTGCTTTTAATGCACAGTGGGCACCAAAGAGGCAGGGGTTTGGAAGCAGGGAGTGTGAGTGAGGACTTTGGGGGCAAAAGGAGGAGGGCTTTCTATAACTGTTTTCTGAAGTTTGAACCTGGAGATCTTTTCAGAGAGGTAGCTGCTGGATGTTAGGGCTGGGGGATGTTTTAGTTTTCCAAGGTGATTTTGGGGTGTGGTAGGTTTTTCCTTACCGTCTAACAATCTCTCAGTGCATCTCTCTCCACGTGCATTAGAAGACATGGGGGAGGGGGCTTTTTTCTTTCCTCAAAAGAACTGTTTTTGATGTGTAATGCAAATGGCTGGACAACATTGCAAACCAATACCAGGATGGTAGGAATCTTGAGGGATTCAGAGTAAAAATGCTCAAAACTGGTAGCACATTGCCAGTAACCTGGTTCTTGACATACCGCAGTATTTTTTCTGTTTGGAACTCATGACCCATAAGGCCTTCACTTCTCCCTGGAAGAGGATTTAATTGATAGGGGAGGGAGGATGATGATTCTGTGTTCAGCAAGCATTCTCTGGCCTAGAATTGACTCTCTCTGGAGAAGGCTGCAAACATGTTCTGTGTTCAGAACATCTGATTCAGGGTGTATGTATATGTTGTGTTTCTTAGTAGGGCTGCTTGTGGGGATTGCAAAGCAATTCATGTTGATGCAGGCCAGTTACTGATTTCCTGGGTTTCGTTTGAAAGGCTGACTTTATATGCTGTTGGTTTTCATTTGTTTTTTTGTTTTTTTCCTTCCAATTTTTATCCAAATAGTTATTTTATTTTAAATTAATAAGGTTGAAGTGGAATGCAGTACACTTAAAAACAACCATATAGTCCTTATTGATTCTTCATAGGATGCTTAGAAGAATTTTCCTTCTGGTCCAGCTTTGGGCTGCATTGATTTTAGGCTCATGCTAGGGATTTAGGTTCCTGCTAGGGCTTCTTGCTGTGGTGCTGAAAGGACAGTTCCCCACCAGTTTCATAGGGAAGGGCACACACGCTGGACCTGATTTAGGTTTTCTTTGCCTTTTATTATCCGCAGGCTTTTGGTGTGCATGTGCATGTGCATGCGCAGTTGGGTTTGTACTTCAGGTTGAAGGCCTAGTTATCACATTTTATTACTCCCACATAACTCCTCATTTTTGGCTGTCCCCCATGGAGGCAATGTTTTATCAGCTGCCACAGATCCATGTAAGTCACACAGTGACATTCTGCTGACTGCATTATTTCAGCACATTTCAATAATTTCAAATATCAGGAAATTGTTAGTATTATGAAAATCTGGTCTTTGCCAGAAGTAATTAGATAGCTTGCCAAGTTAAGCTGGATCAGGAGGTCATCTTCACTGGGTTGATCTGACCAGTGAGTTAAGAAAGAGACTTGTAAAACAGCAGGTGTTCCATTGTCACACTAACATATTTTCATCCAGAAAATTATTTAAAATCATGGAGTAGGAAAGGGGCCATAAAATTCAATGTGGACAATCACTCATCCAACCTAGAAAATTCTCTTTTGGGAGATAATCTGCTTCGAATACTTCGTTGGCAGGAATTTAAGACACAGAGAATAGCTCATTCATTGTGATTGAAATACTTTAAGCTCATTTACAAGGTAACATGCATAAAATTGAAAGGCATCTGAATGAGGGCTACACCAGGACAGATGTCATTTTTGTGCATGTTACCAAGAAAAGATTGAGACTCAATGTTCTGTAGAGATGATAAGAGAAAGCTGTAGTTAGCAAATAATACAGAAAGGCATGTCCACTTAAACTGTGAAAAACATCCTGTGAATGGAAAAGAAAATAATTATCTTTAATATACTGATATTACATAACAAGTTGCTCTGTAAGTCACATTCTTGAATTAGTATTTAATATCTATAGGCTATATCTAACAAGGACAATAAACACACACTGTATAGAAAGTGTTAAAAATAGAAAGTTTATCTAGAGTGAGATTTGTTTCTACAATTATAAAAATAATAGACATTGTACAAAATTTTAATTATGTAAAGGCAGGAAAAAGTCATTCTTAGTCTTATTATCCTAAGCAAAAGTTTTCAGTCTTTTGTTTTCAAGAAGCACTTGGGAAAGATACTTTAAACAGTATTTTTAAACTGATTCTTTCAAGTTCATAAATTCATAGTATACTAGTCACTCAACAACTTAAATACTAGGGTGTTGGTTTTCAGTTTACTTCTTTACTTAATCCTTTTTTCCCCTTAATCTTTCTTAATTTAAAACAACTTTAAATGTTTTTCTTGAAAGAATTCACTCATAAATTGGACTCACTTGAAGTCTCTTGATATAATCTAGCAAGTTAACTACAAGAACAAAGAAGCTCTTAATCAGTGACTCAATGAACAGAGTCTCACTCTGCACCTACTGTGTATAAGGCATGTACCAGGCATGGCATATTAAGTGGCCCCAGGTTAGAAAATAATACTGCCCACAAAAAACTGTTCAAATGTTATAGGAAGAAAACAGCAAGGGCTGGTGGCTCACACTTCTAATACTAGCTACTCATTGAGACTGAGATCTAAGGATTATGATTCAAAGCCAGCCTAGGCGGAAAAAAAAAAATTGTGAAACTCTTCTCTCCAATTAACCTCCAAAAAGCTGGAAATGATGCTGTGGCTCAAGTTGTAGACTGCTAGACTTCAGTGAAAAAGCCAAGTGAGAGCATTTGGCCCTGAGTTCAAGCCCCCATAGTGGTACCAAAATGAACGGATGAGTGAATGAATGAAACAAAACTTTTACCTTTTACTGATTGCTGAAATGTGTGGTAGTCCTTCAGGTTGATCTCAGTGATTTAGTGGAAGGTAAATGTAAGAAAGGAAAAGACAGAGGAGAGGGCCTATAGGAAATTTTTTGTGTGTTCCTTTATGAAGTTGTAGAAATAATACAGACACACAGTTAAGTACTATCTCAGATTAAGATGAAGTGAAGGTCTAAGAAGGTTGTCATTTTTTCCATTGAGGAAAAAAAAATTCAGGAGTAGCATAGGTTTTGGAGTCATCAAAACTAAGTTCAGACTTTTACTGTGCTACTTATTTGGTTTGTGACCTTGGGCAAGTTATTTAATCTATCTGGGCTTCAATGTTCTCATCTATAAAAATAGGAATACTAATACATTGCAGGGTGTTTGTAAGGATTAAATTAAATCTTTGTTTCCTTATGGGTTCTGACACATAGAGATCAGTATATATTAGCTCCTTTCTCTCTAGGGATTTAGCAGCTTAGTGTGTATTTATATGCGTATTTGATATAACATATATATGCTCTGTATTAAATTTCAGTAGTCTGGAAACAGATGGTTATTTTATCTTCAGTCTGGCATGGAAGTAAGAATCTGTAGGTTCTTTAACTTGAATGGACATTGCTAGTCTGAACGGAGACAATTTTTACTCTGTAGTTGCTGGACTGGCCTCCACTGCCACAGTACAAATCCATTAACTCTTCACTTTAAGCAGGAGTTCATTCCCAAATTATGCTAGACTAGGATTCAGCCACAAAGGAATGCTTTAATTTACCCAGTTGGTAGGCAACTGGGCTATTTTTTTTTTAAACTATAGCTTAGGATCTGAAGAGGGAATGGGCCCAAAGTTCGAGACCTACCTTTATTTTCAACTTTTTAGTTATGGCAAGTGATTATCCAAATTTGTAGTTGCATATGTCTTCATCATTTTAGGTTTCTCTGAACTTAAATGCCTCATTTGAATGGGTCTCATACATTTCTGTCTCACAGGTGACCAACTCTATGTTCTGCTTATGAAAACTTAAAAAATCTTGTAGGAATTAGGCAAGGCAAATATAACTCCATGTTATAGCTAAGGAAACTTGAGTATCTAAGCGAGCGAGAGATTTGCCAGGCCTAAGGACTATTTAAATGGTAGAGTTGATATGCTGGTACTCAGGATAGTTGACTCATGCTTAAAGATTTTCCCTCTTTAAATGGCGTTATATTCCAATGTT